CTCTATACGCAGACAAAATTATTTGGCAAAGAAAAAAATTCCAAATTGTGAAATACCTGCTTACCTGCAGTGGGGGTGTTTGGTTTTCTGGATTAGATTTTTCCTTTCCATTTGTAAAAGTTTTATTTAGAAATGGGAAAACTGAGTGCATTTTCTTAGCATAATTTTCCATATAAAACAGTTGACTTAACAAGATCCTCTGTATATTTTGTTAATGGCAAGCACTGGTTGTTGCTATCCTCCCAGCTACTTGGTTAAATTTTCTGTGCTCCTGTGGGCCATATGTTACTCTCAAAGAGAACTTTAAGCTAGAAGACATTTTAATTTATTGCACTCTACTGATGCAAGTAAGCAGCCCTCTAATTGAATTCACTAGCGATCATGAATAGGGGATTTTAAAAAGCAAACCCCTTGTGGGTTTGTTGGAGATTCTTTTTGTGATCCCTGGGTGGCTACAGTTGCATGTTTGCTGAACCAATCATATCTTGTAATGCATTTCAGAATTTCTGTTTTTTCTGTTGACATGCTAAACAGAATATGTTGCATTTTGTGCTTCTGCAGAACAGCTACTTACTGTACCAAAGGCAGCATATAAACAAAATAAATAGTGGAATACAGAGGGAGGAAAAAATGAAATATTCCTGGAAGTGGGTTCAGCTTTAGGTGTCAAAATTCCTAGTGAGATTTAGGAGAGGTTTGTGATTGCTTTCTTGGAAGTCCTGGGACACCTCCCGAGAGGGAAATGTGTAGCTATATTATTTCAGGTATAAATTTAATTTGTACTTTTTTTATCTTGGAGGGGTAAGCAATTAATTGGGGTTCTTACTGGTAAATTAAAAATTTTCCTCTATGCTGGTTAGTCAAGAAATATGTGGGAACACATTCTGAGGTATAATGTAAGCCCAAGTCATTTAACGAGTATGCTGTCCATAAGCTTACAATCATGCATATGCATCATGTTTGCAGGAATCTTGTTATAAATTTCTGTTTATATGTAAGGTAATCTTTTGATCTGTATTTTGGTATAAAAATGTCTGATAATGCAAATGTTTGTCTTTTGTGTTCTTTGTAGGCTCCTGTAAAGATAGCAGTAATTTTCAAACAGCTGAGAGTTCTCATTGAGTCTGTTTTAAAGAAGAAGCTTGAAAATCCCAAAATGTCACTTGAAGGTAACTTTATTATTGCATTGCTGACATTAGTGTTTAACTGTTAAGTGGACCTTGTGGCAAGTCTGAGAAACCATTAGCACATGGCATCCTCATGCAGTAGGATTGGTGTGACCTTGAATGTTATTCCATTACCTTGAGAGATATCCAGAAAATGGTTACTAACTGTGCATATATTGTGTGGCTCACCCCAGTTTTACGAAGATCTGCCCAACTGCTGTTTTAAAGAATCCCTGATAACAACATTCAAGGTGGTGGTAGTAATGGCGAGGTGTGCATCTCAGAACAGAATTAAGATTGTGTGTGAAGAATCTTAGGCATGGATGGTTTCTAAGTGTTATGCAAATTGTCTAAGTTAAGGGATAGAGTATTTAAACTTTGGACACTGCATGTTCAGAATAATATTGTAGTTGGGGAGTTCCCATGCTAATGTGTCTATAGTTAACCCATCATTTTATCAGTCCCTTTTGTAAAGTATTGAAGTGTCCACCATCAGTTCATTGAGTAATTTTATAAACTTTAAAATTATGTACCGTGGAGGAACTGTTTGTCCTTTTGCTTGGCAAATGGTAATCACTTGTTTTACTTTAAATTCTGGCTTAGCCTAAAACATTTAAGATTTTAAGTTGCTGATAGCTAGACTTGTCTTTTGATTTTCTTGGGGTTTAGGAATCAGTATTTAAGCTAACTCTTTTCAGTCACTGTGTTTGTTTTCTTTCACAGATGACAAGGTCTTACACATCATCAAAGAACTGATAAAAACAGAGAATGGTAACTGAAACCAGAAATCAGTAACAAACCAGAGCTTCGGTAATGGCAGGGGAAATATGCACTCCAACATTAATTGACATTTAAATGCTTAGTGTGGTTGGTACCAGCCATGATGGGGATAGACTGCATGATTTTGCATAGGATTCTGCATAGGATTAACCTTTTCTTTATGACTTTAAAGATGAACATTGGATATGTTTAGCATTTACAGTACATTTGGTGCCATTTGTCTGACTGTACCAATGATAGCTGCAATCAGTTTCTTTTCAATATAGAAATGGCTGTTGAACAATTTCTCTTTCTCAGTTTAATGTGCTAATTATACCATCACTGGTGATGCAGTATGTAGTGATGATTAAAGACTGTATCTCAGTTGAGTAGAATTCCATTAGATGTGTGCAAACAGATGACAAATGTTTCTTATATGGGTTTCCTAAGTGGTAAATTTTTTTGAACTATGAATTTACAGTATTGAACCAGTACATCTTATAGATGTTTTAATTTTTTTGTATGATTCACATTAGGAAAATGCTCTCTAAGATGATAATATGGACCGCTGTGAACAGGTGCTCAGTTAGACAAGTGTACTAACCAGCAGCCCCTCCCAAACAGAGGATGTGCCTCTTCTCACTGTTGTCCCTCCCTGTTCACCCTGATCCTTGTCTCTGAATGCATTTGCAATATGTTTTGCTGTCCCTTCTGTATGTTAAGGTTTTCTCAGTCCTGCAGGACACCTTCAAATGATGAGCATGGTTTTTTTCCCCCTTTATTGATCAAAGTTCAGGTTGACCCTTTAGAATGTTCTATCAGAGCAGTTCCTGGTAGAAATTTTCGGTGGCAGAAACCTTCTGGTCTTCACTGTTCTCTCTTACCACCTGCTCATAGTGATTGTGTGTCTGTGCGATATTTTGTCTCTTATTTCTTTGATACTGAAAAATCCTTAACCAGATAGCTTAATGGACCAGATGCTCTTACATTGCACCTGTCCACACTATTTGCAATTACGAAGTGCAATTTTAGATCACTAATTCTGCTTTCAAGAATGAGCAATATATTGGTGGGGAAGGTTTGCAATTAAACAATTGCAGTCAAGTAGGAATTGTGTGTAGAGAGGAAGAGTATAAATGACAGCTTTTGTTTAATCTGAAAAATAAAGGTTTTGTACAGTGGAAGTTAATAGTGTACAGAAAGTACACTGAGGAAAATACATAAAAATGCAAAATACATGGAGCCTATCCAGTTAGGTTATCACAGCTGGTTTTGCTGTGCTGAGAGAAAATAAGCTGAAAATAACATGCACCAGCTTGTGCATGTTACCCTATACTTAGTTCATGGAGAGGCAAGTTGTAATAGGAGTTTGCTAAGAACTTTGAAGGGAAAGTGATCACATATGTTATTCATTTATGCATTGTGATAAACTAGGGTAGTCTTGGTTTCATAGATAAGACAGGAACTGGGTTCTGGATTTTTTTTTTTTAACACAGAACTATACTACATTTAGGCATGGAAGCATTTAAACAGTGAAGTTTTGATCTTAAGACCTTATTTTTGCTTTCGGGATTCCCAAACATAGAAATAAAAACCTGCTAACTATATTAATTGAAGATATAAACTAAATCTGCACCATGATAATTTCCTACATTTTGTTTCAGTTGAGATCTTTTATTTGTGTCCTTTGGAAACATGAATTAGAAAAACATTTCAGCAATTCAGTAACTAACAAGCTCCTCTTCCTTTTGGATTTGAATTTTGCATATCAGTTGTTGGTCTTAAATTGCTAACTCCTAGGAAAGTGTGAATTGTCCTTGAGTTCTTCTCCCTTACTCAAGTGTGATGAACAGAGAGCTTTTTTCCTGTGTATGGATAGGAATGTTGAAATTCAGTTATTCTTTGTGTTCCTCTAGCATACCCTGCTGAACTAAATTAAGGGGATATTTTGTAATAAATAGGAAATTGCACGGTCTTCTGAGTGAGCAACAGTTTTCTGCAAAACGGATTAAGGAAATCACACTGTGGTGTACAGATAAGCACAGTTATCTTAAAACAAACAAATACTATGGTGGCTTTCTGCTTCTGCAGTATACATGAGCAACTTTTGTGCCTGTGCTCTTTTGGCTGGATGAACTTTCTCTTTTGCTCGATTTATTTAATAAAGACTTCTGTTAACACTGTTGTGTTATTTCTCTTAAAAGCATTTGTCAGACACAAGAGTAGTCAGTAGGTATGGATCTTTGTCACCATAGTCTCAACAGGGGTCTTCAGTGTGTACTGTTTTTTTAAAAGGCAGCATGTCCTCCCGGTCTCTCTTCACGTTGGAGAGGAGTTCCTGCTCTTGCTATTGAAGTTGCAGAATTCCCCCCTACTCCCCTCTTTTGTTCCTAGATTGTGTGGGTTGCCTGAAGCTCTCGTTACCCACTGACATCTTTCCCAGTGCTTGAACCAGGAGAGGTTTTCTTTCTCTTTCTGCAAGTCTTTCCACATTTATAGGAGACTGCAAACAAGTGCTTGGAGTGCAGGAGTATTTTAATTTTCTTGAATTCAGCTATTTATAATAATGCTTCACTACATAAATAGTCCATGGCTGGAAGTGTAACTGAGATCCAGATGGCCGAGGGATCTCCTTCTTTCCCAGCTATCTTCCCTGGTGTATTTGTGCTGTTTCCCACTGACTTCAAATAAAAGTGTTATTTATGCAGAGCAGCCTAGCTGTTAAAGCTGGAGAGACACCTGATTTAGTAGTGTCAAAATACAACCTACTGCAGCTTCGGCTGCCGTGGTTTTCTGGCACTGCTGCCCGGTTTGCTCGCCGCGCCCTGCCCGACAGAGTGGCCATGGTCGGGAGGTCGGAGACCAGCGTCGATTCCACCGCAGCCGTCTGGCCCGATGGCAAGCGGCGGAGACGAGGCAGGCGTTTGGGTGACTCGGATTTTGTTTTGGCGGCGGCGGTGCTCGCAGTGCCCGGCAGAGGGCGGGGCGAGGTGCCCGGGGGCCGGGCGGTGACCGCCCCGCCACTGAAATAGCCGCGGCCGCGGCCGGAGCGGGGCTGGCACGGCCGCCCGCCCCATGGTGACGGCGGCGAGAGGAGGGCGAGGTAGCGGCAGCGGCACCCCGGAGCGGCGGGGGCCCGGCGGCTCCCCCGAGTGCTGCCCGCGCCGCCCGCCGCGGCGGCGGCGCCCGGGGACGCCGGCGGGGGCCGTGGGGGACAGCCCGCAGGAGCTGCAGGCTTTCCGTGACTACGGAGAGAGCTGGTACCGCTCCCGCAAGAGGCTGGAGAGCCGCTTTCAGCCGCGGGAGCCGCTGGCCCGGCAGCCGCAGGTGGGGGCAGCGGGGCCGGCCGCGGGGAGCGGGCGGAGGAGCCCCGGGTTGGTCCCGGCTGACTCCGCTATCGGTGCCGCAGGTGACGGCGGAGGCGCGCTGCAAGCTGGTCAGCTGGCTCATCCCCGTGCACCGGCACTTCGACCTCTCCTTCGAGGCCCTGTGTCTGGCCGTCAACATCCTCGACCGCTTTCTCGCCACCACGCCCGTGGCCGCCGACTGCTTCCAGCTGCTAGGGGTAACGGCGCTGCTCATCGCCTCCAAGCAGGTAGGGCGGCCCCGGCGTCTGGCTGCCCCGCTGCCGGGGTCTCTGCAGCCCGCCGGGGTCTCTGCAGCTCGAGCGGCTCCGACGGCTCCGAGCTCAGCCGCAGCTGGGCAGTGTTCCGCGCCCGCTCCCCCGCGTTGCTCCCTGGCGGCGATCTCCCCACCCCTGTCCCCCCTCGCAGGTGGAGGTGCACCCTCCCAGCGTGAAGGAGCTTCTCGCCCTTTGCTGCGACGCCTTTACCCGCCAGCAGCTCCGCAACCTGGAGTGCATCGTCCTGCACCGCCTGGGCTTCGACCTGGCGGCGCCCACCGTCAGCTTCTTCCTGGAGCACTTCAGCCAGGTGCGGCTGGAGGCGCGGGGGGCCGACGTGGCGGAGGCGGCGGACGCCCGGAGCCTGGCGGGGAGCGTCGCGGAGCTCAGCCTGGCCGACTACGCCTTCACCAAATACGCGCCGTCCCTGCTGGCCGCCGGCAGCCTGGGGCTGGCGGACCGGCTACTGCGACACCGCAGTCCCCTGGACCTGAGAGTCAGCGGCTACCCAGAGGAGCTCCTGCGGGACTGCATGGACCAGCTGCAGCTCCTAGTGTCTCTGAACGGGCGGTCCTTGCCGCTCCTCCTGCCCCCAGAGGTGGCCCAGAAGTGCCACTGGCTGGGGCGTGACGTCTGATGGCGAGTGGCAGCGGCGGCCGCGCCAGCCCTCGCACTCTCGGCGTCCGCAGCGCTGGGCGCTGGCTACGCTCTGGCTTTAGCGTCTGTGCTCCGTACAGTCGGTGCAGAGTCTGATCCTCTAAGCCTTAGTGTCACTTGAGTTTGAAAATTAGATGACGTTTTGCAAATGATGTTATGTGTCGTGTCAGCTGTAGTGTCCCTGTACTGTTTGTTTCGGTAGTTTTTAAATCCAGCATGTAAATAATACATTGAATCTCACGTACTGTGTTATTTATTTGGAGGATGGTGCATAAAGATAACGGTGAAAGGATACACTGAATGTTGAATAAACTCTTTTCTGCTTGTTACCTTTACTCGTTGAACACAGCTGGGAGAGGAAACGCACTGGCACAGAACGAGTTCTCCCCGGCAGTTAACTCCAGCCCCCCCAAAATAATGATGCCCGAAAGCAACATTCCCCATTTCAAACTGGCACGCGCTAGCTTGGTAATGGACCCAGGGGAAAAAAAAAAAAAAAAAAAAAAAAAAAAAAAAAAAGTAGATACACTGACATAAGTGTAGAAAAACGTAGTGTGGAATAATAAAACAGCTGGGTTTTAGTTTTCTAGCAGGGCTGTAACCCAGGTGCGTGCTCCTACCCAGCTTGGCACTGTAGCACAGGAAACATTCAAGAGCAGAACACAGCCATAATGTTGTAAAATATTTCATTTTCTTCATTTGTATATTCATTCATGTACACAGATCCAAATGAAGGTTAAAAGAGCGCACACACACCTAAAGCTGCCCTCGGGAGTGCTCACCTTTCAGGACAGGGGGGACCCGCACGCCGGGCTGTGCTCCGAGCCCCACCTGCAGCCAGGTGTTGGGGCAGAACGAGCAAAACTTGTCTGCTTGCTACAGAAACTATTGCTACAGAAAATGCCGACAAGCCCACCACAGAGGAATAACGGGCAGGTCATTCTCCCCCAGCCCCCTCAATGATTTCAGCCGGGGGAACCTTGCTGCGCTGCGAGCTCGGTACATTGAACATGCCGTGGGCTGTTTTCTTCTTTTTCTGTCCCACTCCGCCCCCCCGACCCCGGCTTTCAGTGCCGTCTCTACCCCGTAACGACATTTAACAAATTGCTTTATAAACCCCAGCCCAGCCCACAAGCCGACGTCCACACTCTACCCGACAGGGATCCGCAGGGCTGGGCGGGGAGCCGTGATGCCGGGGGCGGGCGGGGCGGCGGGGCTGGCAGCGCCTCTGCTCGGGTTTCCCTCCCCGCCCCGGCTCCGCGGGCGCGGGGAAGGGCCCCGCGGGCGCAGGAGCTGCCGGCGCGGCCCAGGGCGACGGCGGGAGGTTTCGGCGCCCCGGAGGAGGGAATGCGGGCGGACAGCCCCGGCATAGCCCCGGCCCCCGTGCCCCTGTCCGCGGGGCGGCGCCCAGAGGGGCGCAGGGCGGAGTGCGCCGGTCGGGGCCGGGGCAGCGAGCAGGGCTGGAGCTGGAGCCGAGGTCGGGGCCGGGGCCGGGGCGGCAGCATGGAGCAAGGCGGCCGCCGCCGAGCCTTCGGCAGCATATGCCCCAACAGGATCCAGTGCCCGCCCGCCCGCCTCTCCAAGAAGCCGGCCCGTCCCGGCAGGGGACGGCGTGGACCCCCGGCTGCCCCGAGTCCCCGAGCGCCCCCGCCCCGTCAGCGCCGCAGCGTTGCCCCGTCGGTCCCCGCCGCACCCGCCCTCGGTGAGTCTGCGGCGGACAGCCCTGAGGCCCCCAGCCGTGAACCCCTCCCCGTGCCTCCCACTGTGCCACTTTGGTGCCTCTCACCGTGCTGCCCAGCCCTGCAGCCCCCGTCAGTGACACCTCCACCTTGCCCTTCACCATGTCCTTACTGCCACATCCCCTCTCCATGACTGACGTTGTATTTCCCCCGGAGCATCCCACCACGTTCCCCAGCCATGCATCCCCTGGCCGTACCCACCGAGGGTGGTCCCCAGCATGCGCTCATCATTCTGCCATTTCCCCTGGCTATGCCTGCACTACTTACCTCTGTCTCTGACTGTCCCCAGTGCTCAGCACCATCGACTGGCAGGATTTGGCAGCCTGTACCCCCCTCCTTCCCACCACCCCAGCTGGCCCAGTGACCCTGCAGCAGGTAAACCCCACTGTTTGGGGTAGGCTTGGCCTCACCTGGCACCTTGAGGGGTGGCCCCCTTAACCCAATGGGTGCTGGCAGCTCCCCTGACCTCAGGTTTCCCACCTGTGAAATGGGCACAGAGGAGGACAGCACCTTGTCCCATGTGTTAGGTGGGTTATGGGCAAGGGCAAAGCCTGGGGGTGCCAGCAGTGAGCGAAAGTGCTGAACACAGGCATGAGATACTGCTGAAACAGTATGGGCAGCAGTGGGCAGTGCGGGCAGGTCTGAGTCCTGGGCCCTGCTGACTGGATCATTTCCTTCACCCATCCTAGAGTCCCTGCTTCCAGGATGGGACAGAGTTTGATTTCCAAGAGTTCAGAGACGCTGTGGATGATTTTGTATCTGGCAAGTAGATATTTTTCCTTACCTGAACCCAATGTACCTGTGTGTGCGCATTTGCAGTCATGCTGCATTCCCTCTCCTCTTTTTCTGCTTTGCTTTTGGAATTTTGGGTGCTGACTGACTCCATGTTTGTTCCGCCATAGTACAATCTGTAAGGTAGTGCATTCCTGCTCTCCCCCTTGGAGGGATCTGGGCTGTCACTGAGCTTTCTCCCATGGGAGACAAATCCAAATAGCTCTAGGGGGCATAGCTGTCACAGTAGAGTACAAGCATTTCAAGGCTGCTCCAGAAAAGGAAGGGTAATGCATGTTCTTACTAATAAATCCCTTGGGGTTAATTAGAGTGAAATGACACTGAATAATCAGTGTTTGTAAACATACATATGTAGGGTTTATTTTGAAACAATTTTGTTTCAAAAGGTTAACAGGTATGTTGCTGTTTTGGGTGTTATTCTATAGCAATACAGCAATATTAAAGCATCTATAACAATAAAGCAATATGACACTACTAAAACATAGCAATATTAAAGCATAGCAATATAGCACTATTATTAAAACCTAGCAATATTAAGGCATCTACAGCAATATCATCTATACCTATATAGCAATCATTAGAGCATAAGCATAACACTTAAGGAAATGCATAAAAGAGAGAAAGGGAAACAAAAGATAAAGGTGTAAAGATTATAGTCATGGTGCACGGGATCCAGTGATGAAGTAGTTGCCCTGTCCATATATGTTAATTGAAGTGGTGGTCTTGATCCGTTGGGGCTAGAGGAAGCTCCCCACCAAACTCAAAAATGTTACGAGTTATTATACACTTCCAGCTCAGGTCAGAATGCCTTGCACCTCCCCATCTTTTGAGGTGTTGCCTCATCTTAGCCTCTTCTCTTCCTCAGGCAGCACCTGCACCCAGGGTAGCTGGACAGTGGCAACACTTACCTGATCCTTTAGCAGTATTCAGGGTGGGGGTTTGGTGTTTTGCTGGGTGAGAAGCTGTTTCTTTTGCTTCAGTTTGCAAAAGTCTTTTAGTGATCTTAGAACGTGTGAAACATTAACTGTTTCAGTCTCTGACAAGGACATACCGGAGGGATGTTTAGAAGAATGGTGTGCTGGAGTTGGTGGGAACTGAGAACATGAACACGTCCTGCGTCTTTATAACTGTAGCTGTTCCCTCCAGATGCATCCACTTTAATGCCACCACCACTAGACTGCACTGATTTTGATTTCTCACTTGGTGAGGAGGTGGCCTTTGGACCCTCCACCCAGCATCTGGAGAGTAGCGTGCTGTCGCAGGTGCCTCCACAGTGCCTGCCTTCCCCTGAACTGAGCTGGAGGGACCAGGCAGAGCAGCACCAGAAAGCACTGGGAGATGCCATGAAGGCAAACAGCCAGGTAGGGACACCCAAGCCCTCCATGGCTTGCACTGCTTTTCTCTCCATTGCATTCCTGCTGAGGCGGCTGCATGGCCCTGGTGTGCAGCAACCCCTGGCCCCTGGGCAGTGGAGCTGTCCAAACCACCCAGTCCACATTTATCCTTCACAGCTGCAGGAGACCCTCACACAGAGGCAGGAGGAGCTGGCAACACTGCGGGAGAGCAACGTGCAGCTGAAGGAGCTGGCGAGTCAGGCCAGACAGCTGGCCTCTGTCCTTGACGTGAGTGCCGCCCCCTCATCTGTCCCTGCGGGACAGTGCAGTGTCAGGGTGCAGTGGGGGACAGGGTACGGGGTGAGAGGCAGCACAGAGTGAGAGCGAACCAGCACAGGGGAAGGTGTGGGATGGGGTGGTGCAGTGTGGGGCTGTCTGAGGCAGCGGTGTGTGGCGGGATGCGATGGTGTGGGACGGGATGGGGCAGGGCAATGTGGATTGGTGCGGTGTAGGGTAAAGCAGTGCGGGATGAAGCGGGGTAGTGGGGGACAACGCAGTACAGTTCGGGGCAGGGCAGTGAAGTGTGGGATGGGGCCGTGCGGTGCGGGATGGAGCAGTGAGGGACAGTGTGGTGCTGGACGGGAACGGGCGGTGAGGGGCAGGGCTGTGCGGCGCAACTCCTGGGAGTCGCCCTCCTTCCTCCCAACAGACGCTGATGTTCCCGCAAAGTGCCGACGGGGCTGCCCTTCCTCCCTCTCCTCTTCATCCTCCACCTCCTCCAGCCGTCGCTGTCCCGACCGGCACCCAGCGGGCGGATGCGGAGGGCGTGGACGCGATGCTGAGGGCGGTGTCGGAGAAGTGCCGCCAGGCCCTGCGGAGCCTGGGGGGCAGTCCGGGGCACAGCTCGGGGGGCAGCCCCGGGGACAGCCCCACGGCCAAGCGCCCGCGCCCGGCTCCGCGTCTGCACGGCGCGTTCCGCGGGCTGCGCACCGGCCGCGCCGCCCTGCGCCCGGGCGGCGGGGACATGGAGGAGGGCGGCAGCCTGCGAGCACAGCTGGGAGAGGCTGGAGCCATTCGCACCCTGGCCTTCCCGCAGGGAAACGCCTTCACTCTCCGCACCGCCACTGGCGGGCACCAGTTCCGATGGGTGCCGCGCTGAGAGCTTGGCGGCCGCGGGCGCGCCGGAGCGGGACCTGCCGCAGCGTGAGGCTGGCAGCGCTCCCCACCTGGCGGCACGCTTCTCGTTTTCCCTCGGAAAAGGGGCATTCACGCTTTCCCCCGTTGCTGGAGGAGCGATGTGACGAGCGCGGCAGAGGCCACCGCGCCCCAGCGAGGGCCCCGCGCCGCGGGCACGGCCACCGCAGGCTTTGTGCGCGGAGCCGCCGTGGCTCCACAGTTGGCAGCTCGCCCTCAGTAGCTTGCTAATAAATGTAATGAATGTAATGAATGTAGAAATTAAACGAAGATCTGCCCGGTTTTATCCAGAGCTTTTACTGGGGCAGACAAGCGCAGCCGACAGTCCAGTGGCTGGAGTTGGCTGGCCACTCTGAAAGCAGACCTGACCATCCCAGGTGGTTAAACATGATGCACCTGCCCCATCATGGAATTTTGCACCCACAGTGTTTACAAACTGCATTTGTATCGTTCATGTCTGCAACTGTATGTGTATATTTGGACTAGATGTGATTATTAAATACTGCTTAAAATTGCCATGTATTTGTACAGATTTAATGTAAACAGTTTTGCTTCACGTATGCCTCCTTGCTTTCATTAGAGCAAGGATAACAGCAGAAAGTTTTAGAATAAAACATGCTGCTTTTAACATTCAGTGGTACTAACTGAAGTAAAGAGAAGTGTGAAAAATAATGTTAAACTGTTCTGAACAGATACATTTCATTTGCACCCTGTGGTTTGAAAGCTGAATGACTGACAACACATGTGAAATAGTACCTGCAGTGTATTTTTCTGTGGCACACAAGTGAAGGCACTGTGCTTCACCCAGGGTAGAGATTCTCTCTCTGTGAAGTTACCAGTTTTTCAATACTCAGGTTTTCCAGTATTCTTGCATGAGTCCGTGCACATTAACAGCAGTCCAATTGTGAGAGGCTTGTGTGATAGTAAAGATGAGAGCATATTGTCACCTCAGTAGATTTCTTAGGGCTATTGTACATACTCTTGCACTTTTGGCAGAAGAGACCGTATTTGGAAGGAGAATGGTGGTTGTTTTCAGCATGACATATAGTTGTATGGCTTCTAGGAGACTGCAGAGGTGGGTATTCAGTATCTGTGGTCCTTCATGTCTGCAGCACTGACATCTTCTAGCAGGAATTGTGCCAAAGTCCTGTCTGGGATGCTAAGGGCTCAGCCCTGGATGACTCCAGAGGCATTTATATTTCTGCAGAAGAGAATGGCCACTTTGGCAAAAATGCTCTATGAAAGCTCTGGCTTGTCAGCAGACAGAAGAGACAAAGGTTCCTGGCTGCACTGAATTCAATAGGGAATAAATTCATTGTAAAAGGCAGCTTTTATAGATATCTACAGTTCCCCTCTGTGTGTTTTATGAAATGAAACACAAAATGGATAGTGTGTACAATTTTGTAATACTCATAAGCATGTTAATTCCTCAGAAATAAAGTGACAGATTACACTTCTTGTAGGATATAACAAAAAACAATCTGACTGAAGGACATGTTGATTTGTGGTTTATGTTCACTATGATTTTCTCTCTCTGGTGGTGCATGGTCCGTGCAATGGATGAAGGGAGCTGGCCAAAACCCCAACAGAAATAAAGCAAAGTAAATGCAATAACATTTAATGAGCTTTGTTCCTGCTCATAAGTAAACTTTCTCCACATTTTGCTGCCCTACCAGTGCCAAGCCATAGGATATGTGACTGTGAAAGAGTGGTGGTACAGAACTGCAGACAACTGGGACACTTTGAGGTGAAAGAGAAAAATACCTTTTAATTTAGGGTGTGCCAGGGTAAGGGTTTACTAATCATGTGTTGAATACAAGCACCTCAATTCCACACAGGACTTGTTCTGGGCACATGGGTTTTTCACTGGGTAAAATCCTCAGGTATTAATTAAAAAATGACACCAGACCTCAAGGTACAGCTTGTTTAAAAGTAAATACTAGAAAGAGGAACTATCTCTTAGTAAATAGGTGCTTATTAAGTCAGTAATTTTAGGTCTTTTCAGAATAAAAAGGTAGAAGGAACCTGACCTGGATGGAATTATTTAGAAATGGCATAGGGCTTTTAGTGTAGCTTTAATTTATGAAAGCCTTTTTTTGTCAGCAATATTGGCCATCCCCTGATCTAAAGGCAACATCCAAGGCTGAGTGTCGGCATGGCATTTTCCTGTAGGGGTTGCCAGGGTTGTTCAATGCTTCATAAAGAGAAAACCTTGCCCATTCACAAATCTGAGCTACTCTCCACATGTCAGTAACAGGAATGCTCTTGCTTTGATGTCCATATCATAACTTGTACATAAACACAGGCACACAATTGCTGTCATTTAATTGCTCTGACTACCATTTTTGAAGCATGCAGGTTCCTACAGGTCCCATTCATATGGAGCTAACCTCCATCAGAAAGATGCAGTGGATGCCCCTGTGGGTTTGCCACAAACCCTGCGTGGTGGCAGACAGCCATTGAGGTGTCTTAGATCGTAGTCATGTAGAGACCAGACTATAACATGGCTACTGTGCTGTAGCACCAGTGCTAAACTGTTCCTGTTGGGTTTATCTTTTTAGAGATTGCAGAGATTTCACCGTCTTTTCTTCCCTTGTTTTCCTGAATATTTTTCTGAAGAAAAATACCCCTATGTCTGTCTTCAAGAAAAAGGCAAGCATTTTGCAGTTGGTTTTATATGACAGCAGCAGTACTCTTCATCTTTTCTAAACATTGACTTAATTCTGGTCCGGAGCCATTATTTGCATTTTACATTGCGTAGTCTTAACAAACAACTAAAGCTAATGAGGTCAAAAGAGATGGAGGTTTGCTTTGACATAACTATTTCATAGGTGTAGCAGAAATAATCTTAAAGTCTGCCTTGGACCTAGCACCTGCTCAAACTCTGATAGCAAGGGATATTTATGGTCAGTATTGACTTTATACTCTCCAACAAAATAGTATTAACCCCCTCCAAATTAGTAAGTGTCTTCAAGGTTATTCATATGTAGTGATCCTTTTTTTTTAGTAAAATTTCCCAATTTCTTATGTGGATAATGCAGTTACAATTTGAACTCACTTGTTAAAATAGGGTACCTTGAGATTTTGAGGCTTATTCTCTTTTTCATCCAATAAATTGCTGTTGCAATGGCCCGTGAGGGTATGTCCCAGACAGCCTGCATGTAAGTCTTTCTATAGCAGGCTGATACACACCAAGCATGCATGAGAGGGTTACATTTTGTGCTCTGATCTTTTCTATGGAATAGGTCTCAGGATTTCAGGCAGCAACTTCTACACAGAACCTCATATTTCTATTTACATGAAGCTCAACTCATCTGATGCTTTAAGTTGCAAACAACTTTCACCCGTGTACCAGGGATCTCCCTGAATTCCCCTGGGTGGACTGTTTTGGCTTTCAGAGCAGGAATACCAATGGCACATGGACCCAAAAGGGAGCCTCCACCCCCTAGAGAAATTTCTGGGAAATCTCAGCTGGGGTTGATCATATTTACAACACATTTAATCCTAACAATTCTAACTCTCTATTCTATATTCTTGAATTGTAGAAATGTCCTCTGTTTCAAGCCTTTCTGTAGTGGTGTGTACAGATGCTTCAGTAGCTTAAAACTCATTTCTGTTTATCAGCTCTTTGCAAATGAATGATTAATATTTGCTGCTTGAGGATATTTGGTGACAGAGGAATTGTTCCAGACATCAGGTGAGCTTCTGTTTGTAATATTGCTGAGTCCAGAGACCTGCTAGAAACACTTTTCTCCTTTAACCTAAAGGGACTGCAATTAGTTAAGCCGTGCTGCAATAGCACACAAGGGCATGCAATACATGCAATAGTCCAGCATGTGCATTTTGTAAAAGATAGCCAAGGTTCAAGGTTATGTAGGGTGTTTGTTTTTTTTTTTGTCTAAGAAAATATATTTAACATGTTAAAAATAAACTTCAGTACAAAAACATTCCTTGCAATGTACTGAACAGTAAACAGCAGTTTAAAAGCCATGATAAAAAATATTTTACAGTCTAAATACTTTCTAATACTAATACTTTTTGATTCCATAAATATTAGTTTTTTGAAGTGAAACTGGAGACTTATTTCCATGGAAAATGGTATGGAGATGCAACAGGGTTTTAGGAACTCACAGATGATGGAGCTGAACCTGTCAACAACTACTCGAGTGAAACATGCTTGAAATGAGAGATGGCAGTGCTTTTTAAGCCGTATAGTTACTTGCTCTTATCTAGGAAAGAATGTTAGAAACCTTGCCCTGTCTCTAAGACAACCAGAGATAAATCACCTACAGCAGGTGCCTGAAGCCTTGGATATAGCTGTAATTCATAATTATCCAGAGACATAATTACTTTCTGCAATACTTAATTTTACAGTAAATTTTAGTAGTTTAGTACTAGTAATGTAGAAATAAGTCTCGTGCTATCAATAGAACCTGCTAGAGAGGCTTTGGAAAGAACTACGTCTGAGTGGTATTTTGGCAGTTTATTAATCTGGACTCTCGGGATTCCAGAAGGAAAAATTATTTAGGCACAAAATTGGCAGCTGGTACTGAAACCAGGGGTCCTTTTGTTGGGTTAGAGTTTAAATAAAGGTAAATAAAATGTAGTTTGTGATGTGTGCAGCCTCCAGTGCCAGCACAGGATCTCAGCATGTTGGAAACCTTCACTGAAACGGTTTGTAAAAGTGATGTGCTGAAATGGATTTCTGATTTGCACCAAAATATGTGGGAGACCACAATGAAGAGATAAACTTAGCAGAAAGGCCTGGGACGGATGACCTAGCAGGACAGCTTTTGATCTGTCCATGGAAAAACAATATCAGGCAATTACTATAGTGTGTTGATGAAGAAGTAGACTGTATTGTTTTATGAAAGCTGAAGGCCACATTAGAACTGAAAATCCTGGGAGTCAACAGTATGTAACATAAAAAAAAGGTAATATATTAAAATGGACTTATCCCTTGGT